GCTATCCCGACGACAAACGTCGTCACTACAGGTACCCTATGCCGACGACTAGTTGTCGCCATGGTTTTTGAAACTTTTGACCAATATCCTTTGACCATTACATCTGTGCCGACGACAAGTCGTTGCCATAGGTCTGGCGGGAACAACGAAAATATTGGCGGTAATATGAAAATCTATACCGACGACGTGTCGTCGATATAGGTAAAAAAAAAAAAAGTATTTTCCATTTATTTTTATTCCAAGTGCGAGAAAAAGTGAACAACGTAGTTTTGGGATACCCTATACCGACTTCGTCGGCACATGGTTTTTAATATATATATATATATATATATATATATATATATATATATATATATATATATATATATATATATATTTCAGGAATAAATGATACGTCGTCGTTTATGTCGACCCTATACCGACGATATGTCGTCGGCATAGGGGTATACCCTAAAACAGATACACAGTTTTCTTTCATTTGCACACAACGACTTCTTTCTGCATTCTTTCCTCCCAAGCGACGAAATCGGCTACCCAACGACAATATCCGACGATTAACCCAATCCAAGGTTGTTTTTACCCCTAATTTGTTTTTTATTGTTGTTTGATATTGAATTTTACCCCTAATTTGGGGTTTTTTGGTGTGTAGGAACCGGTGGTGAAGCTCCATCGACCTAGTGACTGCCTCACCCTTCCACCGTCTAGTGTTGCCGCCTGTGGCCACTACCAGCCACCACCGGAGTATTACTTGCTTCTTTGACTAGCCAAAAAAAGGAACATCACAAGAACAAAAGGTTAGTTTTTTTTTTTCTTCTAATTTTTATTGAAATTGACATTGAATTGTGTTGAAATTGTTTGTTTGTTTATATATATATATATATATATATATATATATATATATATATATATATATATATATATGTGTGTGTGTGTGTGTGTAATTGTGTTTGTATATATATATATATATATATATATATATATATATGTGTGTGTGTGTGATTGTGTTGTATATATATATATATATATATATATATATATATATATATATATATATATATATATATATATATATATATGTGATTGTGTTGTTGTATGTTTAGGTTTATACTTTAAACAAATTAATTGTATGAAATTGATGTTGTTTAGGTTGGTATATGACATTGTATGAAATTGATGTTGTTTGGGTTGATATATGAAATTGAAATTGTTTAGGTTTGTATGAAATTTTATGTGATTTTTGTTTAGGTTGGAATGAAATTTTGTATGATTATGATCTTTGTTTAGATTGGTATAAAAGTTTATGTATAAAATGTAAAATATGTATGAATTGTGTTTAATTTGTTTAGTTATTAATAGCAATATACTTTTTTTTATCTTTTTAATTAAAGTATTTTATTTTCATTTCTATTTAAAAGTTATAACATAAAACAAAATAATAAAATTACGTTGTTATTAAAAGTATTTTTTATCTTGTTTATGGTGCTGTAAAAAAAATAAATATATTAAAAGTATTTTTTATTTTTAGTATTCTCCGTGATTGATCTTTCGACCATATATGTTTGAATCATGTTAATGTTTTAAACAAACTAATAAACTTTAATGTCAATATACAAGATAAAAATAAACAAAAAAATAGCAAAATAATATAAAACTAATAAAAATATGTTTATTAAGTTAAAAATATTTAAACTATAAAAGTTATTAATACCAACATACTTTTTTTTTATCTTGTTAATTAAAGTATTTTATTTTCATTTCTATTTGTCGTGAATAGTCGTGATCTCCGACGCGCTACTCAAAATAGTGGTGTTGTTACATTCGGAGAAGACGGTACACCATTCTATGGTCAATTAGAGGAGATCATAGAGTTGCATTATTTATATGATAAATCAGTTGTACTCTTTCGTGGTAAATGGTTCAATGCCTCATTACGTAATGGACGTTTAAAGACTATAAATAATATGATTCTTATCGATACCAGTCATGAATGGTATGTCGGTAAAACGTGGTTTCATGATCAACAATACATCTTCGCCACACAAGCTAAACAAGTATTTTATCTCCAAGATCCCACTCAAAACAATAACTCGAGAGTTGTGGAAGAGGTTCATCATCGAAAACTTTGGAATCATCCAAGTATTGGTGTTGTGAATGAGATAGATGTTGTGAACAACACTCAATCAACTGATTTTACCTTGGTTGTCGACTTAGGCACCTTACCTATGCAGACGACTTTAGGTGAAGTTGGTGAATCAAGTGTGGTTGCTAGGAGGAATGTTGCTCCTAATATAAACGATGACGATTTCATTAACGATGAAAATGATGATGATGATACGTAATCTTCAGATGAAGAAATAAATAATGAAAATTATGATAGTGATGATGATGTTGTACATGTATATTGTTCTAGTGATGAATCTGATTGACGGTATGTTATTGTTATTATATGTCCTGATTGCTTATAATATTTGTTAAATTTTGAAATGTTGCTTATTTGTAGTTTTATTATATTTTTCTGAATGTTTATAATATTTGTTAAATAGATGGCAGAAGTCGCGAGGGGAAACGGAGGAGACGGTGGGGATAGACCTCCACACGGGATTGCATACGGTGTACCATCGGGTTGCCAATCTTGTAAGTTATATGAAATTTTTAATTATTAGATATATTAAAGTTTTAAAGTTCTAAATTTCCAATTGTATATGTAAATATAGCACAAGCGAAGAATGGGAATGTGAATGTGCGTGGCAAAGGGAGAAACTTAAATTTGTACGATGAGTATGAAAAAAACAAGTGTAGGCCTTTGGATTTGAGAATTGATATCTCCGGGGGGACGTATCGATTTATAGGGGACAACGGGCAAATGTTTGTCAGACTGATCTCAAATCTGGTGGGATCAAAGGTATCGTTGCATTATCATACTTGGCGTCGTGCTCCTACCATGTACAAAGCTGATTTATATCCCGAGCTAGAGGTAAATATACAATATATTTTATATGTATTGAATTTTACACTTATTAAATATTTTTTTACTAATCAAATATGTTTTTCCTTTTGCAGACTTATTTTGATATTAATAGGTATCAGGGCACAAACTTGTGGGAACCCCTTCGAGCGGTTATCCAAGCAGATATGCAAATAGCTTATCGAGAGCGCAAGTATCAGATAAAAAAAACATTTTGAAAGAGTTGGTGGATATCGTAATGTGGAAAGGGCAAGAAGACATCCACCGAATGATTGAACCGTCCAAGCTTGGAACGATATGATTGATTTGTTGTTTTTGACCGAGGAATATAGACGCACGTCGGAAAAAAAATAAAGTTACTAGGTCGAAACTTCCACACACAAGTGCTCACGGATGTAGACCCTATGCTCAACGGCGTTATTTAGAGGTAATAAAATACATTAGTATTATTTAAAATTGTTATTAACATTTGTACAAATATATTTATTGTTTTTTCACTTATTATAGGAACAAATGGGAATCAAGCCGCAACATATTGAGGGTTGGAGACAAATGCGCTACAAAGAAGGTTCGAGTTGGTGTACAAGTCGAGCAGAAGAAGACTGGGTAAGTGATAAACGAAATGAATATGTTGTTTAAATATATTATTATTAATTATAGGTTCTTGTTTTAAGAATATTATTATTTTTTGAATGTTTAAGTTTAGTTGTTTGTTTTAATTAACGTACGTTAATTGTTTTCTTTATTTTAGGAGAAAATTCAAATGGAATATGAGAAAATGCAAAACGAGGTTGGGGAAGGAGGAGAAGTAAACGAGGAAGAATGTTTAGAACGTGTCCTTGGGACGAGACATGGACATGCTCGCGGGGTGGGTAAGAGACCAACCGCCAACTTCGGTTTAATTCCAAATGAACGGCCTTCCACTTCCAAATCGTCTCAATCCCAACCCCAATCTCAATCCCAATTAGATGCACAACAAATGCAAGAATATTTGCAACAATATAATGCATCATTGGCGGCTTGTATTCCGAACTTCCAACCACCACCATTTCCTAACTTTTGATTCAACTATAACACACAAGCAAGTAGCTCTCAACAATCTGCCGAAAGGATGGAAGAAGAAGAAGAAGAAGAAGAAGAAGAAGAAGAAGAAGAAGAAGAAGAAGAAGACGCTAATGATAATGATGATTGATGTTTTTTTAGTATTATGAACAATGTTAGTTAACTACTTATTGTAATATTAAACTTGAGTTTGATGTTTTGAATTTGAACAATGGTACCTAGTTAATGTATTTCAATTGATATATGCTTCAATGTTTTTTGGATTTGTTAAAAATGCAGGAATTGTAATGTACAAAACCTATAAAGCTAAAAAAACAACCAGTAGCTATCCCAACGACAAGTCGTCGCTATAGGTCCATAATCGTTAACTGATAAAACCCTATAGCGACAACATGGCGTCGTAATAGCTTCAACTTGTCCAGACGACTAGTCGTCTCCATAGCTATCCCGGCGACTTGTCGTCGCCATAGGATTTTAATAAAACTTTATTTTTTTTCCCCGAAAATATCGTTGACAAAATCTGTGCCGACGACATGCCGTCGCAATAGAGCTAGCTATACCGACAACGTCTATGCCGACGACCTAACAGACCTATGCCGACACGCCTATGCCAACGACTTGTCGTCTCCATAGGGTCTGAAATTGTCGTCTCTACAGGGTCCGATTGTTGTAGTGGCGCTTAATAAAAGTATAGATTAAATGGTCTTTGATCTAACGGTAAGGAGTGATTTTTTTATTTGAGAGGTCATGGGTTCAAACATCACTTGAGATATAGATGATAATAATTAAAAATAAATTAGCTTTCAGTTTAAAAAAAAAAATTATGTTGTTAAGAAAATTGTAGTTTACCCTACAACATAAGAAAATTATTATTTATAGAAAAACGTAATGGCATAAAATAAATATTATTATTTATATATTAATATTATACCATATAAAGAGTACATATTTTCGAATATTTTCTTTACTAACCATTAAACATTTATGGTGTAAGATATATACCCCACCCCTCCTTCGTGTGTGTTTTATCTCCCTATATATACAGATACACGAAGGAATCCACCAAAAACACCCATAACCATTACAACCATTTCCATCTCTCTCTCTCTCTATCTCTATCCTCTCTTCACTATTCTATCTACACATCTCCATCCACTATCTCTCTCTCTTTCTGTACCAATACAACTGATCAAAAGCTGTTGAAAGGGATATCTCTATACATATATACGGTTAGGGAGAGAGAAAGAAGAGGGAACCGGTTGTGAAGTTTAAAAATGGGGGCCGATGGATTTGGAGGGATGAGTTATTATGTGGGAATTTTTCTGGGATTAATGTTGATTCTTAAATGGGTTTTGAAGAGTGTGAATATATGGATTTATGAGAGGAATTTGGAGAAGAAGAAGAGGGAGTGTCTGCCACCAGGTGATATGGGTTGGCCGTTCATCGGAAACATGTGGTCTTTCCTCAGAGCTTTCAAGTCTAATGATCCTGATGCCTTCATCTCCACTTTCCTTCGCAGGTAACTCACACCTTTCGTTCTTATTATTAACATCTTCTCCTTCTTTTAAACTATTATAAAGAATAAACAAAGAATATAATGATCCAAAGATTTATTCATTATAAATGAAATGGAAATAGTAAACGATTCTCTATTGCTTTGGAATAATTTGAAATAAGCATACAAAGGGTTTATTTTGAAGTGCATGTATACTACGAAAAACACTTATAATTTTTATGAAACACTATAGCTATATAATGGAATATATTCTTTCCGATTATAATATGCTTCTACGCCACCAACAAATGTCTCATCTTTTTGGGTTCGAAAACTAGAGTGGGAATACAGGATATGGTTTACAAGAAAGTTATGTTGCATGCATTATTAAATTGTTTGTGTTTTTTCTCTAAAATGTAGCTTATATCATACTCGAGAATACAATTCAAATTGTTGTTATGCAACATTTTTGTAGCTATTTTGTCCAAGAAAATAAGGAAAAGATATTTGCTTTTAGGAAGAGTTGGACGTGTCACTTTCTCTATCTAGTTAATTATGTGAAAAGACAAGCACTTCCCTCTAAAGGATATTCACTAAATTCTTTTATTCAATTAAATTAGAAATAAAATTTCAGTTTTTTTATACACGACGGAGGTTCCTATAAAATCATAAGAAACAGAATTCTTTGCACATTTCCGATGCATTAGCAGGAGAACCAGTAGCAACTTAAGAGGGGTGCTAATTGACAAGAGCCCCCTTTTTTTGGTTTCGAAATCCTATGCACCGACTAAATGAAGTGCTCTTTTGTAATTTCACTCTTTGTTTAGGGGTGTTTTTGTATTTTACATAATGTATTCTATTTCTAAGATAATAAATAGAAGTTGAATATGATAGATAAAAATGTTTTCATTTTGGACGTGGTGGTACAAGTTAGAATTTTTTTTGGACCTGTAAATCATAACAACCAAATTTGCAGTCTTATTCAATTAAAAAATGATAGGTGAAAGAATACAATTGTTAACCAGTTTAGTTTTTAATTAATAACGATACCAACGATTCTCTATACTTATTAGATTATCAGTTTTGATTATTTTTTAAATACACAATATTTCGCTTCAAGACTTTTTTTGAAGAAGCTACGTAATACCTGTTATTGTTATTAATATATTCTTGATGCTACACATATATTGACTTTCTCTTTCAAATATTATTAATCACCTATATTTCATCCATAGACTTATTTAAATCAATATGCTTCATTTTAAATTTTTTTAACTAAAACTGAATCATTGGACTTTTTCTAGAGCAGGCAACTTTTGTCACTATCATCGTCTTTATCATTAAACGACAGTTATTTAAACAATTATTGTACACCTCCTATATATGTATCTTATTATCTCTATTAATTAGTATTTACTATCATCCTAATTCCCATATTTCAATAATATATATATATATATATATATATATATATATATATATATATATATATATATATATATATATATGTTTTTGTTAAGTAAACATTGTTTTTTTTTTTTTTTTAAATACAGATTTGGGTCTAGGGGTTTATATAAGTCGTTTATGTTTGGTAGCCCTAGCATCATCGTGACTGTTCCCGAAGCATGTCGGAAAGTATTGTTTGATGACGAAGCATTCCAGCCAGGGTGGCCAACTGCCACCCGGGAACTCATCGGAAAAAAATCATTTATTGGAATTTCGTACGAAGATCATAAAAGGCTTCGTAAGTTGACTGCAGCACCAGTAAACGGACACGAAGCCTTGTCTACATACATGCAGTACATTGAGACCAATGTGGTCTTAGCATTGGAGAAATGGTCAAAAATGGGGCGGATTGAGTTCCTCACCCACCTGCGAAAGCTAACTTTTCAGATAATCATGCACATTTTCCTTAGCACTGAGAGCGAACACGTAATGGATGCATTGGAGAAAGAGTACACTGTGCTTAACTACGGCGTTAGAGCTATGGCCATTAATATTCCTGGTTTTGCATATTATAATGCACTTAAGGTTTGCTTTTGTGCCTTTGTTTCATTCATTTTATATTATCTTCCATTTGTTGTACATTATCTTAACTTTTAACTTTTAAATGTTTATTATGATGATTACAAATTTATAGGCGCGGAAGAACCTTGTGGCCATTTTGCAAACGGTTGTACATGAACGTAGGAAGAAACGAGAGGCAAACGAAGGGATGTCCAAGAAAGACATGCTTGATGCTCTCCTGGACACTACAGACGAGAAAGGAAGAAAACTAGATGATGAGGAAATAATCGATACATTAGTTATGTACCTAAACGCGGGCCATGAATCTTCGGGACACATCACGATGTGGTCTACCATTCTTCTCCAAGCACATCCGGAATTTTTCCACATAGCAAAGGTAATAAAATCAAGAAAGTAATCTAAACTAGTAGATTGTAACAAAATCAAGAAAGTAATCTAAGTAAAAAAAAAACCTGGGTGAATTTTCATTAGGAAGAACAAGAGATGATTGTTAAGAATATGCCACCAACACAAGAGGGTTTGACCTTGAAAGAGTATAGGCAAATGGAGTATCTCTCCAAGGTGATTGATGAAACGCTTCGTTTGGTGACATTTTCGCTCATGACGTTCCGTGAAGCTAAAAAGGATGTCGATATCAAAGGTGTGATTTTTATATATGATAATTAAATACCAAAAATACATCAACTTACGATTGACTTGGGTTCTAATCATGTATAATTTTTTTTTTTTTTTAATATATTTCTTAGGTTACTTCATTCCTAAAGGATGGAAAGTGTTGCTCTGGTTTAGGAGTGTTCACCATAATCCTGAACTTTATCCCCAACCTAAAGAGTTTAATCCATCAAGATGGGATGTAAGTCTGTTTTAACTTGTACCAATTGCTTTATAACTTGTACAAATTGACTAATGTAAACATGTTTGACCAGGATCTTGTACCAAAGCCAGGAACTTTTCTTCCATTTGGAGCAGGAAGTAGGCTTTGCCCTGGAAATGACCTTGCCAAGCTAGAGATTGCCATCTTCCTCCACCATTTTCTACTAAATTATGAGTAAGTTTCCATATAAACCAAGTCAAAATTTGTATTGACTTTTTGGGTCAAACAAGTTCTTTTTGATACTCAAAATGAGTGGAGATATTCCATGCTTATCTAAAAAATGATACATTTGGTGTCAAACTTTTATTAAAGTTTTCATCATATGAAGTTGAAAATTTGCTTTCAAAGTCAACTAATTTTAAAACTAGTTTGATTCCCGATTAGGTGAAACATAATTTATTATTATTATTATTATTATTATTATTATTATTATTATTAAATATATTATTTTGTATTGCAGGTTTGAAAGGGAAAATCCAGAATGCCCGATTATGTATTTACCTCATTCAAGGCCTAAAGACAATTGCGTGGGAAGAGTTAGAAGGGTATCCAAATGAAAGAGGGTAGATTTTGAAATTAAATAAAGTTTAAACAAAGTTATACTGTATTTTTTCTTTTGACTCATATGTTACATTCCTCGGTGGATTTTAGTATTAGTTAAAATATTTCCGTAGTGTTGTCGTTTTAACCTTTTTGTCTTTCGTGGTGTATATTTTTCTATCGTCTATTGAAGAATAGGTGATTAAAGTATTCGCCAGTTAGATGTGTTCTTTTTTGCCTTTTATATAATAACTATATGTGAAAGGTATCTTATTAAGACTCGACAGGCAGGGACAATCCATTTTGGACGTTACAATCAATTGTGGAATTGTAGTGACGTTAAGTATGCGTTAGTAACTAATTACAACCACAGATATAACTATTTTTCCTTATAATTTTCACAATAAGCAACCTAAAAATAACAAAATTCATTTTAGAGCACCCACAACAATTATTGAAAAAGTTTATGTGAGTGTTTGTAAATTTACAAGCTATTTAATAATAATAACCTTTATTCCCACAACAGTTTGCTTTTTTTTTTTTTTTTTTACTCATCGGGAGATGCCCCCTTGTAATCAATGAAATGGTTTCGTGGGCCAAACAGTCCAAAAAAATTATTCCTCCTTAAAATCAAGTTACTCGATTGCATAAATTGAAATTACTTGGACTCAATTATGTTTTTTATGGGAGAGCATGGATTAGGGGATGTCTTGCATCATCAATGCCTTCGGTGCTTGTCAATGGATCTCCAACGAATGAATTTCCTATCTCTTGAGGTGTACGGTAGGGTGACCCTCTATCGACATTTCTCTTCATTATAGCAATGGAATGCGTGAATGTAGCAATCAACAATGCTTGCAGCAACTTGTTAATCAAAGATGTCAAACTTCCAAACGAGGGGCCATTGCTTTCTCATTTGTTTTACGCAGATTGCGCAATTTGTGTCAGTGAATGGTGCAACGAAAGCATCAAGAATTTATCTCGTATACTTAAATGTTTTCATATTTCATCTCGACTCAGTAAATTTCTTCAAGTCCAGACTTTTTGGCATATGAGTGTCTTCTCAAGAGGTTCAATGAATGGCAAGAGTCTTGGGATGTTTGGAAGGGGCTTTCTCATTTACCTATTTGGGGGTTCGAGTTGGTGCGAACATGTCATTAAAGAAAAACTGGCAGCATATAGTTGATAAGTTTAAGTCCAAATTATCAACTTGCAGGAAGACCAAAGCTCTTTCATTTGGCGGACGCCTCACCTTAATAAAATCAGTCCTAAATAGCCTTCCAACATATTATATTTCTTTGTTCAAAGTACCACAGGGTATTATTGACATACTTAAACAAATAAGGCGTACATTTTTATAGGGCGGGATTCAAGAAAAAAACAAGATACATTGGGTGAACTGGTCCAAGGTAGTTGTAGAGAAAAAGGATGGAGACCTTAGAGTCGGCTCTCTAAAGGCTTAGAACATACCTTTTCTCACTAAATGGTGGTAGAGGCTACAAAATGAGGGAGATCAGTTGTGGAGGAGGGCAATCATTAGCATCCATAATCTAAAAAAGAAATATATAATATCCCGATTTCAAGGAAGGTGATTTTAGGGATTTTATGCACTTAAGAAAGCTTACTCAACGAGTTGGGAGTCCCTAACTCGTCGTGTAGAAACTCATATGGCCACATGGATTATAGAACCTACTCGATGAGTTGGAGGACCCCAATACGACGAGTTGAGGTTGTGCATGAAAACCCTAATTTCTAGGGTTTACACCCTGTTTAAAGGACCTTAAGTCCTCTCTCCAGCCTCTCTTACGACCTCCACGTCCAGAAAAAAACCCTAATCGAGCTAACCTCCTATTTGAGGTTGTGTGAGGCTAAAGAGTGTGTGTTTGGTGCATTTCTTGAAGAGACTTAAAGATTGAGAAGCTTGGAATGAGAAGGAGCTTGTAGATCCAACATCTACTTCATTTTGGCATTCATTTGAACGTAAAAAGTCATTACTTTAATCATTTTCTTGTTAGATCTATCCACTCAAGAGTTTAGGGTCATTTCTAGCATACTCTTGAGGCATTTTTGGTATTGATCATGTTTTAAAGTGAGGAGTTCAGATATGGAATCCTCTAGGACCTCATGGACATAAAGTTCTCAACTTTAGCAAGCTTTAGCCTTTCTCCATGCCCTAAACCTCTTATTAAGCTTGGTTCTAGTTTTTTAATCCCTTTAAGGCCTTGCATGCACGTAAAGTTGGAAACTTTACGCGGTAACTGCACCCTAGGAGGCTAGATCTAAAGCTTGGAGCCTTCGTTTCGCTTAAAACATCTAAATGAGAAAAGGGCTGAAGGAACTCGACGAGTTGCATAGCCAACTCGACGAGTTGGATGGGGTTTAGCCGCCTTCTGGATTCTGAGTGAACTCGGCGAGTGGGCGAGATGACTCGACGAGTTTATTAGGGTTTTCCCGGTCTTTTGGATAATGAAGAACTCGACGAGATACTCAGGTAACTCGGCGAGTTGACTCGAGTTTTTGGTTTCTAAGTTCTGAAGGAACTCGACGAGTCAGTAGATGAACTAGACAAGTTGGGTCAACATGGGTTGGTGACCTTGACCATTGACTTTGACCAAGTTTTGACTTCTGGGGATATTTTGCTAATTTGGGATTTTAATGGAATCACTTATATGGTGATTACAGGCAGTTGATCTTGGAGCTGTGTGTTGGGATTTGACTTTATTTGCTCAACACTATTTGTGAGGCGAGTTGTCCTCACTATACTAACAGAAGGCACCAATGTCGGCCCTTTTGGATTGTTATCCTTGTTATCGTATGATGATATGCTTAGTGACATGTTATGTCGATATCCTGGTATATAGGATGATGGTATGTTAGTGACCTGTTAGGTCGGTATCCTGGTATATAGGATGATGTTATGTTAGTGACTTGTTAGGTCGGTATCCTGGTATATAGGATGATGCTATGATTAGTGATCTGTTAGATCGATTTGATTGTTTGTGCATGCTAGCTAGCATATGATATTTATGTGTTGATTGTATGATTGCAGGTGGATTGAGCCGGTCCTGCTTCGTGCTCTAGGCAAACAGACCCAGGGCGGTCCGGATAGACTGTAGACCCATCGGGGTATATCAGTTAGGCCGAAGGCCCGAAGAACGGTCCAGACAGGTTGAAGGCTCGAGAGCGTGGACTAGACATGCTGAAGTATCTGAGAGTTGGCCAGATAGATTGAAGGCCCAGTGAGGGCTGTCCAGTTGTAACATACACGTTTTGAAATCGTGTTTTGTAATGAATAAAATTGTGAAATACTATGTGAAATTGAGTGTTGAGTTCTAACAAATGGTTTTTACTAGAAATGAAGTAAAAGTATGTTTAGAATCACTCAGAAAATATTGGAAGTCTTATGAGATTCCAATTAAAAGCCAAATAGTGAAATTTAGCGAAAATATAAAATTTTAAATAAGTAAAATTTTATTATTGAAAGTTGTAAATTATCTCGTTAGAAACTTGTAGGCAAAAACCTCGTCAAAATCCGAGTTATAACGAAGAAGTTATGACCAATCGAAGATCCGCGAGAAAACCGACACGGCGCCGAATGACGTAAAAAGTGAGTTTTTGATAAACTGCTTTTTAGCCTTGTTGATCTAAATGAAAGTCGTAATTCGTTAAACCGAGAAGTTCGATAAAAAAGAACACCAAAATCTGACTTCGTATGAGGAAGTTATGATTTTTCTAAATTTCGGATTAGCAGTACACAGCTAAAAACTCGAATTTTAGATCGAGCGATATTTGGCTGATACATCCTAAACCAGAATCAAAGGTCTCTTCATTTGTAGTACAACCGTAAAAAGTCTGACAAAAACGGATGTCGGATGAAGAAGTTATGAATTTTTAACGGATTTTCCTGTCCCGGTCTGAAAAAAATAATAATATTAAAACTAAATTCAAAATTAGCCAACGAAGTCTAAACGAAAGTTGTAGAGCGTAATTTTAGCTACGCTGACATATAAAGAACGTAAAAAACGGAGCTCGTATGCGAAATTTGTGGATTTTAGAAGTTTGGGGCTCAATTTCCGAGAAATCTCGCATGAGTGGTCCAGATTCGGCCACGTCCTTCGCACGAAGCAGCTATGTCACTGAAACGTGCCACATCCGAAGTGTGACGCGTGTCGCGTCCGAGCTCTGCTTCCTCGCCACTTGCCCTTCGCATACGAAGCCACGTCCAAGCCTCGTAGCAACCTCGTGGCCCTCGCACTTCCTGCCGCGTGTCCGAAGCTCGCATGAGCCGCACCTCCCCTCCGGATACGAGCTTCATAGCTACGACGTGGAGCTTCCTCAGCCATGTAATCCTCGGTCTCACACCCTATAAAAGGGAGACCTGCGAGACTTTCCGAATAACTTTGAAATTTTGTCACTTTTTCACCCTAATTCCATATATTCACTATTTTGACTTTCCCCGAAGCCCCGATATCAATTTTAGCATCTGAAACACGTCCCGAAGCTCCCGAGAAACCTAGAAATTTTATATTTTCGGTTTTGAAGCCCTACCTTCGCAAAACCCGGTTTTCAATTAAGCTCCCGGTTTTCAACATAGAAAGTCATATTTAAAGCCGAAGTGCTGTCCAAATTAGTATTTTAACCCACGGTTAATTGAAGGTGAGTTCAATATATAGGAACAACTGTATGTTATGTGTTATATGTGTTATGTGCTTTTCAGTGTTATTATTCCAGGTTATTTTCCTGTGTTATTTTATTCGCTATTTTTATAGTAAATGTAATACATTTGACCGTGTGATCAGTGAAAGGACTTAGATTCACATTGGTATTGGTACGTAGCCTCTGGCCACGTAGAGCATGTCTCCATAAGAGAATGACTTCTATTCTATGGCATTGGAAAATGGTTAGACAGGACTATAAGCCTGAAATCTAACAAGATGCTAATCAGAAATTGTATGTCTTGTATGCCATTTAGGCTAAAGTTTTATTGATGTATATCAAGCATTGAAAAGTATATCTTTGAATAAAGTCTTTGATTGATATGAACGCTTGTCACATGATTTCACATATGTCTTTGTTGTTCCTTTTTGCTTCTGCCATATTGATGTATATATATGGCATAACGTTATATTGTATCTATTATTGAACTCATTAAGCATCACCGCTTACCCTATCAATGTTTAACAAT